CCGTGTCGATAGGAGACACGATACGGAACTGCTTGTTCTGCCAGGTCTTTTGTCAACTGAGCAAGCATAGCACATTTCAGTGTTTTTTGTTGGGAAAGGCTTCGGAAAAGTTGCGCCAATTTATCCGTCGGTGTGCTCTGTTCTGGTGGCACGTTCGCGCATCCACGTTTGGAACCGACTAGGTTCCAGCGGCGCGAGCGCAGCTGTAACATGGTTCGAAACGGGAGAAGATGTTTTCGAATAAACTGATAAGAGGCGTACTTGCCCGGTTGGCACACTGGTTCGCCTGTCTCTGGATCTATATTACATTCGGTGTCCCCTTCTTCCGGCGACAATCGAGCCCCATGAAAATCAGCTAGGCCCATAAGAAGTAACGCATCCTCGGCCGGATTGATCCCAATTCTTTTGCGAGATTTGGTCAACTCATCCGCCGGCTCTGAATTAGTGGGTAGTGTGGCCGGCATTAGGGCGGCGTAAGACCAAATTGGATTGTGCGTCATCAGACGAATCAGACAATACGGTAAGGGCAAATTGGTGATCACACGAGTGGACTGTGTTCGAAAAGTGTTAGAATCGTCCGATGACATTAACAATGGTCGGTTGCTCAGTGAAAGTTGTGGCAAAACAGACAGACCCGCGTAGTCGGAAATCAAATGAACCGCATCGTCCAGTGTGGTCGCAGACCAGTAGAAACTGCGCACAGCGGGTGCTTCGGTGGTCCCAGCTCGATGCTCATGCACTAGTAGATCGAATGCATCCCGAAGCGAGGTGAGCTGTTTCAACGTACTCGCACACGGTCGAGTAACTGAGTTATGCAGATACGGAAAATCGTACGTACAAAGAAAACTAGTGGTCAACAGTTGAATGTGCATGGTCAGTTGGCGTTGAAGTCTATGAAGTTCATTTAGGGGAAACCTAAGGACAGAACCAGAGACACGAGAGAAGCAGATTAACAAAAGTCTGAATCACAAAATCTAGCTCATACAAACAGTGATTGTGTGTAACCATGTTAACCTGAATGAGAGCGGCGCACGA